AGTTGCAAATGGTAAGATTTCATTCTTTTTTATGGTCAAGTAATATTCTATTGTATATATGTACCACACCTTCATTATCTATTCATCTGTCAATGGACACCTAGGCTGCTTCCATTATTTTAAATAATGCTGCAATGAACATAGGGATGCATGTATCTTTTTGAATTAGTGTTTTCACTTTTTTTTATAAGTTCCCAGAAGTGGAATTGCTGGGTCCTTCTTTGTCTCTTATTGTAACTTTTGTTTTAAAGTCTATTTTGTCTGGTATAAGTATTGCTACACCTGCTTTTGTGTTTGTTTCCATTTTTATGAAATATCTTTTTCCATCCCTTTACTTTCAGTCTGTGTGTCTTTTGATCTGAATGAGTCTCTTATAGACAGCTTATATAAGGGTCTTGTTTTTTTATTTATTCAGACACCCTGTGTCTTTTGAATGGAACACTTAGTCCATTTACATTTAAAGTAATTATTGATAGATTTGTGCTTATTGCCATTTTCATTGTTTTCATACTAGCTCTTTATAAGTTGTTGGTCTACTATCTTTACTATATGTTTGCCTTTACCAGTGAGATTTTTTTTCTTTCAGGTAGTTTCTTATTTCTAGTTTTGGCCTTTTTTTTTTCCACTTAAAGAATTCCCTTTAACGTTTCTTATAATGCTGGTTTAGTGGTGATGAACTCCTTTAGCTTTTGTTTGTCTAGGAATCTCTTTATCTCTCTTTCAATTCTGAAGGATAACCTTGCAGGGTATGCATGGTTGTAGGTTTTTCTCTTTCATCAGATATATTCCCTTGAATATNGATGAACTCCTTTAGCTTTTGTTTGTCTAGGAATCTCTTTATCTCTCTTTCAATTCTGAAGGATAACCTTGCAGGGTATGCATGGTTGTAGGTTTTTCTCTTTCATCAGATCTTGCCACTCCCTCTGGCCTGCAAAGTTTCTGTTGAAAAATAAGCTCATAGTCTTATGGGCATTCCCTTATATGTATGTAGGTGTTTTTCTCTTGCTGCTTCTAAGACTTTTTCTTTAACTTTTAACATTTAAGATATGATATATCTTGATGTGGGTCTCTTTGGGTTCATCTTATGTGGGACTCTCTGCTTCTTGGATTTGGATGTCTGTTTCCTTCACCAGGTTAGGGAAGTTTTCACCCATTATTTCTTCAAGTAGGTTTCTTGTCCCTTTCTCTCTCCTTCTGGTACTCATATGATGTGAATGTTAGTATACATGACGTTGTCCCAGAGTTCCCTTATGCTATCCTCATTATTTTAAATTCTTTTTTTTCTTCATCTTCTAGTTGGGTGATTTCCCCTATCCTGTATTCCTGATCACTGATCAATTTTTCTGCATCATCTGATCTGCTTTTGATTCTGTCTAGTGTATTTTTTTTTTTTATTTCAGTTGTTATATTCTTCAGTTCTGATAGGTTCTTTTTTTTACAATTTTTATTTTTCTTGAAGTTCTCACTGAGTTTATCCACTTGTTCACAGAGTGTGATGAGCATCTTTATGACTATTACTTTGAACCCTTTATCTAGTAAACAGCTTACCTCCTTTTCATTTCATTGTTTTTCTGGAGTTTTGTCTTGTTCTTTTTTGTTTGGAACATATTCTTTTGTCTCCTCATTTTGCCTCTTTGTTTCTGTGTATTCAGCACATCAGCTACATCTCCAGGTCTTGAAAAAGTGGCCTTATTTAGAGGGTGTCCTGTGGGGCCCAGTGGTGGAACTTTCCCTTGTCACCAGAGCCAGGTACTCCAAAGGTGTTCCCTGTGTGGAACAGTGTGGCCTCCTGTTGTGGTTGCGCCACAACTGCTAAGGACACACTGGCAGGTGAGGCTGGTTCCTGGCCAGGCTGGCTATGAGGCTTTGCCACAACTGTTGCCAGCACACTGGTATGCAGTACAAGCCTTCATTGTAGCTCCCTGCAACTATTCTCGTTATAGCTCGTTCTCAACTGTTGCAGACACACTGCTGTGTGCTGGTCCCAACTAAGGCCACCCACCAGGTATAACAGAGAAGGAGCCACTTTGGAGGGGTGCCAGCCTGTGTGGGTCCTCAGGGAAACACTGGGGTGGGATGAATAGTGTTAGCAAGCCATGGCCGGTGTGATTCAGTTGGTTGGTGTTATCCTGTGTACCGAATGGTTGCCAGTTTGATTCCCAGTCAAAACACATGCCTGGGTTGCAGGCTCCATCCCTGGTGGGGAGCTTGCAGGAGGCAGCCATTTGATGTTTCACTCTCACATCAACATTTCTCTCTCTCTCACCCTCTCTCTCTAAAAATCAGTAAAAAATATATTTTTTTAAATAGAGTTAGCAAGGTTAATGGAGAGTGTCAGAAACAGCACCTGCCAGTGTCAGACCAGTTGGGTAGGAGAGTAAAGGGAAAAACAATTGGTGCCCACTAGAACCTCTGACTCAAGAGAAAGTTCCAATAAATACCTGTCCCTCCAACACACACCCTAAAATTAGTCAATGTATCACTTTCACATATGACCCAGGTGGTTTTCAAACTGCTGCCTCTGCACTGAGACTCAGAAAGAGAGCAGCCTTAGTTTCCTACAGCCCTTTGGCTCTCCCAGATATAAGCCTTGTTGTTGTGTGGACAGTGCACCTGGTTTTCAAAGACAGATGTTATGGGGGCTCCTCTTCCTCTTCGAGGTTCCCCAGGCTGAGGCTCCGACCCCTCACTCTTTGAGGGGGACCTCTGCTGTTGTGATATCCCTCTCACTTGAGAGTCACTACAGAGAAAATGGGGAATAGGGTGGGTCCTCATTAGACTGAGCCCCCTCCCCCTCCTACCTGTCTCAGTTTGGCTTTTTCTTTACATCCATAGTTGTCAAAAATCTGTTCTGCTAGTGTTCAGATCGTTCTAAGAGATAGCTGTTCTATATGTAGTTGTAGTTTTGGTGTCAGTGAGAGGAGGTGAGCTCAGGATCTTCCTACTCTACCATCTTTAACTTAAAGCCAGTAACCTTGCTCTTGAATTCTAATTTAGCTTGTGGGTGAAATGTCATTCCTTGCAGTTGGTACACTGTCCACACAATAAACGTATCTCCAGATCCTCTCAGAAATGTTCTGTTCTCTTTGAATGTAGCCTTTCTTTTGCCATTTTAACTGACAGTATACCTCTTTCTGAATGTCGAACAGGCACTGTGAAAAGGTGTTGGAGTGTATTTAACTCAAAGGCATATTAACAGTGAAACTTAAATCCCAATGTGAAAGAAGTATAGAAGTAGTACCAACTATTCAAAATAGGTTCATAGCATATTTGTGTATATGGCTAGATATTTACTGTTTAGTGGATTTTAATCACTGTATATAGTTTGACTGGATAAGTGATACCAAGTTAAATGCTAGCAACCTACACTAAAGTAGTCTCTTTTTAAAGTCTTCTGCAGCTACTTAAATATGCATAATTCAGGAATTGAATATCTATAAAATTTTCAAAGCATAGATTTCTTTGTCATATTTAAGACATCCTGTTTTGTTGGTTTGCATTTTTCCTGGATGAAAACAAAATTAAGGGGATATGATAATTTAAGGAATATGCTTCTAAACAAATACTATATTTTTATGAGCCATAAGGTCTGTATTTCTTTTCTCTGGGTCTTTGTCTTTCACACTATTCAGTATAATGTGGAAAGCAAAAGTCCCCTTCTTCCTTGTCAATCTTAACTCGCCAGAGGAGACCACTATTAAGTGTGGTGTATATTTTTCTAAAATTTCTTTTATACGTGTATAGCCATATATATA